TTTACATACAATTTAAATTTTAATTCTCTGCCACAAACAAATGCTTCAATGTTGATATCATAAAGGTGTTAATTTGAGTGACTGTAATTTGATAAATAAGATTCAAGCTGATGGGAGTTGAAAAAGAGACTGCCACAAATAAAACCTAGTAGAAATATAGAAAAACAAAATCTTTTCAAGAAAGAGATGTCAGAAATAACTAAAAGAAACAAACTAAACCAGAATGGCCTGGGAAAAGAGGTCCTTAAAAGTTTTCCCTGTAAAAACCATTATACATTACCAACCTGCCAAATCATAATGCTTCAATATATCTTTTCATCCTGGCTAAAAAGACTGCCTCCAAAATGATTAGAGGAGCCAAGACTAGTCATGACTATAGAGTTCAAACATGGAATAAACAATTTGGCACCAAAGCAAGGACTATTCTGTATAAAAAAACCATACCAAGTTAGGCTGTGGGCCTCACGCAAGCATCTGCAACTTATTTACAAGTGTTGTAACATCTGCCATTCCTTTACCTACATGTTTAGTGGGAAGCAATTATCTGAGTGACTCACCACCAAGTGCTCTAAACTGCTGAGCCATCTCTCCAGGTCCTATTGATAGATTAACACTTATATCTAAGTTTAATTCAAACAGAAACATTTCCCCAAAAGTTTCCTTTTCTGTAATCTCTACCAAAAGAATTTCTAACATACACAAAGTATATATCAAACTCACTTTCAACAACTACCACTCATGAGCTAGATGGCGTATGCCTGCAATCCCAGCATTTGAAAGGCAGAGGCAGGAGGATCAGAAGTTCAAGGTCATCCTTGGCTACACACAATTTGATTCACAAAACACAATTGTCAATTCACCACTAATATTGTCTCCTCTATACCATTTCATCTGCAAATATTCCAGTTAAATGGTACATTATACAAATTGTTCACAGGTATATCCATTTTATAGTATTAAAAGAGTGTATATGGGGTCTCTCCTTATATCTTAATAAAAGAAACAAAAATAATAATATTCACTGCTTTTTGGTTGGCTATTTAGTTTGTTGTTTTAGAACAAACTCTCTATATAGCTCAGGATGACTGTAACTGGCTGGCCTCAAATTTTCAATTATCTCGCCTCAGTCTCCTGAATGCTACAATTAAGGTGTATAACATCAAGCCTGGCTTCACTACTTCTTTTTTTCAGGGTTGGTAAAGGGCTGTTTTTTAGTACCTCCCCTCTAATCATTAGCTTTGAGTGTTGTAGATTAAACAAATATACAGGGGCTTGGGAGATGGTTCAGTTGGTAAAATATCTGCCATGCAAGCATAAGGACCTGAGTTCAGATATCCAGTACGCACTTAAAATTCAAACATGGCAGCAAACATCTGTAACCCAGTACTGGGAGGCAGAGACAGACAAATACATGGAGCTTATTGAGGCTTCAAACTCGCTAACAGGTGAGCTTTAAGTTCTGTGAGGAAACCCTGTGGAGAGATGAGAGAGATGTGGATAGCAGAGAGAGATGGAGGAAGACACCCAATGTTGACTTCTGGCCTCCATGTGTACATATACCCATACCTTCCCCACAAATACACACACACACACACACACACACACACACACACACACAAAGAGAAAGAGAAAGAGAAAGAGAAAGAGAAAGAGAGGCAGAGAGAGATGAGTCTTTGTCAGATCCCTTCTTTCCTCATACAAATTATCAAATCAGCCATGTCAGAGGATCAACTGTCCCACCCTAAGTAGGAGACGAACTTTGGCTTCACATACCAAATTCTGTCATGCAAGATCCAATTTGCTTCTGCAAAATCAAAGCAGCAAGTTCCATTGTAAAGGGAAACTTTCTTCTTTAAACATAAATTTTGAATACAAAACCATCTCAAAAGTGAAAAGAACCAGGATGTACATTAATAAAACAGTATCACACTCATTGGCTCTCAAGCTAGATTGTATAATAACATAATGGTTCCATAAATCTATGCAACTACCCATTGCACCAACAATAGGGAGTAGAGATAGTTTTAAATCATTTCAGATGTTAGAAACATTGCCTACAGCCACTCAAGCAAGCTGGGAAGTTTATATTTGCTTCCAAGGCTTCACATTGGATCAAGGGAACTTCTAGCACATGGTGTCACTCTGCATGAAATCAGGAATCAGGATATATGTATATGTACCCACATACATACACACAATACATATACAGCACATAACTGTGATAAAGTTATTGTTTCACGTCACTACCACCAATACGCTATTTCACAAAGAAACTATTAACCATACAATCGCTTTATTTTCAGCTGTGCACCTGGTCTATTGTTCCATCAGCTCTCTTGCTCTACAGATGTCTGCAATCTCCAAAGCACCGTGTTAATACATTCTAAAACATTCTACCTTCCATAAGTATGTGCTATGTACAAAGTGCACAACAGTGAGAAGAAACAAAGAGCCCTATTAGGGTGATAAGATACAGATACACAGATGCTAGACATAGTTAGGGAGAGGTGATGGGTTTCCTAATCAATTAGTCAGACACAACCACAAGGGAATAAAAGGAAAGAGCTATGGCACTGCCTTCATCTGAGATGGGGAAAGTTGTGGGATGAGGAGGATATTTTGGGGATTTGGATAAACTGATAGGAATTAGAATCTCTGGGTGGAAATGATAGAGAAGCAAGCATAAAGCTCTGTAATTCTTGAAAAAAATGAGCTGAGACATAAACTTGGACTAGCTGGCAAGAAGGTACACATACCTATAGTCTTAGCACTTGCAGGGCTGGAGCAGTTGTTTAAGCCCAGGAGTTCAAAGGTCACACAGTGAGATCTCATCTCCAGAATTAATAAACAGGGGCTAGGGAAATGTCTAGGGAGTTAAAGCATTTGCCACACAAGCAAGAGGATTGGAGTTCAGATCCCCAGAACGCTTGAAAAAGTTACATGGCTGCAATTTCAGCCTCAGAATGCAGGGATCTTCAGAGCATGCTGGCTAGTAGATTTGCCATGTCTTTAAGCTCTGGGTTTGACTGCTAAACTCTGACTCAATGAATATGGTAGAGAGAAAAGAGTTAGATTTCTGACACCAACATCAGATTTCTCCACATGTACAGATGTGCACGTACACACACACACACACACACACACACACACACACACACACACACACACACACACAGAGAGAGAGCGAGAGAGAGCGAGAGCGAGAGATATTTGACACTGATATCACTATTAATAACTCAATATGTTATTGCACCTAAAACAAATATTATTTGTTTGTCTTCCAGTGTGTCACTTATTTATTTATTTTTTTGGCAAGCATATAACTTTACTACTTACTAAAGATGAAATCAAATTTGCATGCACAGTTGAGCACTCACTGAAACACCTTGGATTCATCACATATTTGAGTAAAACAAATATTATTAATAGCAATAATAAGTCATGCATATATACGTCATGCCAACTTGATTGATTCAGTGGTCATATTCTTTTCAAATACTTGAATAAAATGGAGAAAAACTCCACCCATCATTCGTTGTCAAGATGGGTGCTCACTTTTTTGTGGTGACTTCATGGAATCTGAATGTGGCCATGGGAAACAAAAATGTGATTACAAGTTCAGACACTAACAACATAGTTTTCAGATCATAGGCAACATCACATATTCATTACTGAAAAATCAATACTGGTTCAGCAACATTTAAACAAGGGAAGAGTTTATGTGAAGCATGCTCCAGTTTCCCCCTCTGTGCCTTTTCCCTAAGGCACTAAATTTCCAAAATGCCCCCCACCCATTGAAGCTGTTTCTGATGCTTACAGGCACTATGGAAAATTGCTAGGGGTTGGGTGGGTAGTGCAGGTGTTGCAAATGGTGATGCAACCTTTAAAATTTGACCTCACTGACCAAATGAAAACCCCAAGACAATGATAAACCCTGAATTAGAAATGTTGCCAGTACCCTATCCCAAACCTGCTGGCACAAATGTCAAAGCAAAAACTTAACACTAAATCAAATTAACAAATATTTCTTAAGCACAGCGTGAGTGTAGCTATTATAATTTGGAAAATTCCACAGTATTTATCAACTCCCAAGCAAGGATATGATGCTCAGAAGTGTACCACAGTAGACGTCAGCAGTAGCCACAGCGCTATGGCTCTGGGTGGGTTGCCATAGCAACCATGTACTCAGCAGCAACATGCTGTCTGCTTCTCACCAGCCCAGAACCAGAAGCAGAAGAAAACAGCTAGCTTCCTGATGGGAGCAACCCAGGGAATCAGAACACAAGCTGTCTCCATCATTCCTGCACACACACAGGAGACTTCCTTTCTGCAGTCTTCATGAAATTGTCTCTACCTAACTCTTAGGGGAAAAAATCCACACAATTGCTTTTCTCCACTGCATAAACACAATCAACATACTTGAGTACAAAGAATTAGAGAGAGATTTTAGGGCATCTGAAAGTGGTCAGTGTCATATATTTAGCTGGGTTCAGGTATGAGGGGGCTTCTCTGGAAAGGAGATGGAGAAGTGCTGAACCATTTGAAAAGGCATTCTGAGAAACATTTTGTAAAAGAGATATGTATTCCTTAAAGTCCTCCAAAGTTCTGTGTGTTAGACCTGATGCTCAGAGTAGTACCATCAGGAGGTTGTAAAACCTTTGAGAACTAGTGGGAGGTCCTTAGGTCATTGGGCATGTGCTCTTAAAGGAGATTAGAGGATTCCAACCCTATCCCTTCTCTGCTATCCAGCTGACGGGGTAAGCTATTTTGTCCTATCACACACTCAAATTAATTATCTCAAGCTGTATTTTGTTATATTTATTGAAAGCTGACAAACACAGTGCTAAGAAGTAAGCAGGAGGGAAACCATTCCTGCAGAGAAGGGGAACTCAAGGGAGGGGTGGCAAATACAGAGCAAGAAAGACATTAAATCAAAGCCCACAACCTACTTTTGGATATTCCACATTACAATGAAGTCAAACAGAAATTGTCAAACATACCTTTTCTACCGGCAGGAAGTCATTTTCTACTTCGATTGACCTTGGTCTTAGTTTAATTGGCTTGTCTTTGAAAATATCTCCAAACCCCACTCCTTTAACTTTCTTGGGCTGGATGGCTGCAGTTGCTGCTGTCCCATTGGCACCTTCAGACTTGGTACTGCTTGAATCACCCCCATCACTCTCAGAGCCTGTGGTTTCTCTTAGGCCTGTCAACAGTGGGGATGAGGAGAGAAAGAGATCAGAAATCAGCCAGAGGCCACAATAAAGAACTTCACAGCTGGCCAAAAGCCATCTCTCAAAGTGTGACAAAGCTTCTGTATTCAGGGGGCTGAGTATGCTGACTCAGGCTATCTCAGTTTTGTTTGGTCTTCCTACCTCCAGACTTTAATTTTAAGCAGTGAATCAAAATACCTTTTCAGAAACTCTAATTTCATGCTGATCTCATTGTATATATGACATTTTACATGCTTCAGCCAAAGCCTGGTTCTGATCCAAAATTTTTACCCATGGCTTGTGTAATACCAATCCTCCTTCCTGCCTATACCTGGCCTTCCCACTCAGTAAGTACCACAACATACTGTACCTCTAAATTCTCTGATTCATGTCAATTAGCAATTATCAATGAAGGTAACATTTCCTAAAGGGAAACTGTAAAGCTAAAAGTGATTTAAACAAATTAGCAATTAAACCACACAAAATTATGACTGCCAAAGACTTAAATCTCTTTGGATGGCTTCACAAAGAATAAATGCATGCAGGCATGTTCCTCTAAGAAAGCATTAAACTGAACTTGACATGAAGAGAGTGTTACCTAGCAAGATGATGGTGTTTGTTAAAGATGGAAAGAAAACTGTCTTCCCAGAGGCCAGAATCCTAACCCTAAAACACTGGAGATATGACCAGTGTTTTCCTTTTAACCTTTTTGTGCCATATGTTGGGAGGTTTATCAGAGAGTTATCACAAGACAGTGTCAACATTCACCTCCCCAGAGCTTGATCCCTAGGCTCTGCCCACACTAGATTTCCTAAAAGTAAGACCCTATTTGAATCTGTTAATTTCCGGGCATACATTCTTCCTTTGGTAGTCAGGACATCAGTTATGCCAGCAAAGGAAAGGGTTCAAAGGATATTTTTTGGAATACTAAATTCTGTCACTAAACCAAATATCTCCAAGGTTCTGTATGTGTAGGACAGCTTTTGGCCATTTATTCTGTATCTCCTGACCATAACAATGCCCTTGAAGATAAAGAATGCCTTGAAATTTATTTTGCTTTTGGCCAATTTTACATTAGCTTCTGGGGCTGCCTAATTCTTAGGAATGATGCACCAAGTAATTGTTCACATAGAATATCATACAATGTTGAAGTCATTTAAGTGAGGAAGTCTCAGAGCAAGGAAAAACTGTTAAATGCAAACAGATAAAATATAGAAAGGTCATTACAGATTGCTAACGGCTTTCAGAATCAAAACCTTAGAACAATGGTTTCCTTTGTTGCTGCCATTTTCCATAAAGCAGTATGTCTAAGCCAAAAGGGTGGGGGAGGGGGAAGATAGCTGTTGCATATTTTAGTTAACTAACGCACAGCATTTGTAAGCAGAAATGGAGGACATAATAAGGAGGGTGCCAACTGCACTTCACATAACCAGATTGGTGTGTCCAAACATGGAGAACCCCTGGATTAGCTATCCATTTGTGTATTTATGTGTTGATTGTTTCTGGGAATACCCATGCTGGAGATATAATTTTGGAGTCTAAATATTGTGTCATTTTCCCCTTTAACATGCTCTTATTTTGGATGCTGTATGGATTCTTTGTATGCTATAAGTGGCTTGCATATTATTTTCATGTTTGCAATGAACCATCGAGGGTGAAATAAACAGTGTAAAGAAACCACATCACCTACCATCACATACCACCATCACCCACCACCATCTCCTTCTCCTCCTCCCACCACCACCCCCACTATCCCCTCCATCATCACCACCCCCTCCACCACCACCAGAAGGCAGCAGGGAAAACAGAGTAGAGTGACTCTGTTTTAGTTCTTCAGAAAGACAAATTCAGGCGATTCTTCCATAGTTCGCCATTAGCTACAGCCATAACCTGGTCTCTACTGTCACCCTAATTTCATCAAGTTTCCATTTGTAGGGATTTGCTGTCTTCAGGCTTATATCAATAACCTTATATTAGTACTTGTAAGAAATAATCTATTATACAGGGAATAGTTGCACACAAGCATGGTCTGGGAAGGAAACACACGGCAGATTTTTCTTCCAGAAATTCTGGCAGCTTTATTCTATAATTTTTAAGAATACAAACTATACAGCCAAATATTTGCACTGATGTAATAATGCAAAAATCTAGTTCTTTCCCTTTGGAAGGAAAGAAAGGTGACTTTAATTTCATGTTGGGTACTCCTTTTACCTACTAGTGCCTATCATGGGTATCTTCTTATAAAATGTCCCCATATCATATTCTGAATGCTAGAGGGCACTCTCAGGCAGCTCATCCAACCAAGTGGAATGTAGGTCAGGGCCAGATTATGAAGGGCACATTACTGGTCCATGAAGAGATAGTGTAAAAGGCTATGAGGGTTCGGAAATGACTTTAGTATTTTGCCATTATATACTGGTGTGACATCCAGACATGTGGTCAGGGCATGGCATGGAGATGAACAAGATCAGATCTCCCCACTGAGCACAAGAAGCACACTGCATGCCAAGTCATATGCAGCAGAATTGTGCATCTGTTCAGAGTGGAATAGAAAGAAATGTACCTTCACTTCAACCATGTGAGGACAGTTCTGGTGCTCTTGTCTCAACATCTTTCCTTACATGTATGTGTATAATTCATGGATCTGAGTATATTTGTACCACAGTGGATCTCCTTCACTCCCGATGAAAACAAAACAAAACCTCCTAAACTTTGCTTCTGCCAGTCCCACAGCTGTCCACTGTGGTGCAATTCACCCTGGTTTCATCACCCATCAGTCCTTGATCATTTCTAATTTAACACATTCATATGTAGTGCTTGTGATATAACAGGAACTGTTCTGAGGGCATCATGAAATTAATTCATATATCTCATTTCTTAAACTTTTGGCAGCCTTATTTTATAACACAAAAAGCTGCACATGGGTCCTGCCAAAAGAAGTCTGCCGTGTGGTGATTAGCTAGATGAGCAAAGCAAAACACTGGATCTGGCATGGACTTCCATGCCAAAATCTTCTTTCTTTGAACCACACAAATGACAAATGACCAACTTGGAAAAAGCGGTAACTAGGAGAGGTTGATGTCTCCACCAGAAGCCATCTTTTATTGCTATGACAAAAACTACTGCTTCATTCTCTGCACACATGGTTCATGCATACATGTCATACACATGAGAAAGGCAGAAAGCAAACAAGACAGCACCAGGAATTGGTGGTGAGAATGCTCTTGTAGCACACACCAGGGAAATGGCACTTATTGGAGGCAAATAAGCCCATGTCCTTGGTTCAGAAATTCACACAGACACTTGGCATAAGCACAGGCAGCTCAGCAAAAGCACAGCTGCATCAAAACCCACAGGTGCCCAGATCTTATCTTTATGATTGCCACCTGCTGTTAAGGTCACTCACTGTAATAGCGTCTGTGGCCCTCCGTCTTTCCCGGTGCAGCGCGGTACAGAATTGTCCCTTCAAAGGTAGTCTTTCCTGACAGTGAATGAGAGAAAAGAAGAGGGAGAGAAAAAAAAGGGGACAGAGGGGAGCAAATGATGGCAAAAGAAGGAAGAGGAAGAGTCTTTAACTGAACTTGCCTTCAATGACACCACTGCAAGAGCTTCATCAGCTTCATCAATGCAATTAATTAAAGACCATTAGGCAGAGTTTAAGAATGTTACAGAATGAGCCCAAAGTCCCCATGTAACCACAATGGAAAGAAAAAAACCAGATTTGTGGCTTGCCTCTAAAATGACCCATATGTATGTTATGCCCAATTAAAAGTTGGAAGCCATTTCACATTTTAACTTAAGAACAGGAAAACCTCAATTAATTAGAGAGAATTCAATTCATAGGATTATTCCATTAACTCAACAGGCAAGCACACTCTTCCCTTTGGAGAGTGTGACCAACACATAAAACAGATCGGACCCTTCTGCCTCTGTCTTCTGTCCCCAGAGATCCACATGGTAAAAGCTGATATACAAGCCTCAGTATTCTAAACAAGGTATGGAATCCTCCTCAGAAAATTTGTTGGTCAGGGGGTGTGGTTCAGTAGTAAATTACTTGCTAAGCATCCATAAGGCCCTAGGTTTGATCCCAGCATGGCAACATGAGTAAATAGAAGATTTGTCACTTCTTAGTACCTTAAAGCAAGACGAGAAATTAACAAACTACAGGGGAAATTTTAGTAGTGAGGTTTAAAACCAATAATGGTACCCAAACCAACATGAAGGGATGTTTTGGTTTAGTACCAAGTATATCAGAGGAACTTTGTTTCTTGAAACATCTTAATTGAGGTTTTGTTGTGTCAATAATGAGCCTACTTAAGCATTGAGGACATAGGACTCACCCAGCTTCAAATATCATATTTTTGATATAATAGCATAGGACTGAACACATAGCTAAAGCCCAAATATCATTGGATCATAAGAGCACAGATACATGTATTGCTCAAATTTAAGTATACACATACTCACCCACCTTTCTAACACACACACACACACACACACACACACACACACACACACAACAATACAGAGAATATCATAAGTGTCACAAGATGACAAAAATATTTGAAAAATAATCTCAATTAATAAATGTATTATTAAAAGAAATAAGTTCTGTTCTAGCTCATGAGTTAAATGCTCAAATGGGGACACAGGCTTATACTTTCACAGTAAGTTAAAAGGTGCAAAGCATAAACAGGGAGTGTAACTGGAAGGGCAAAGAGCAACTTCTCTCACACCTTACAAACTCTCCATCATCAGAATAGGAACCCTGATAGGGTCAGTTTCCAGGCCTTGCCACTCCCAATTTATGACACCAATTATAAATGATCAGAGCACTGTATAGATTGTTATTTCCATGTGTTACAGGAATGGTAATATGCCCTGTTTTGGAAATCTGCCATTTGGGTCATATGTGCTGCAGCCAATTAGAGCAAAAAGTTAGGCATTCAAGTCCGTATCCATGTGTGGGCCCAAGTGGTATGCATAAGCAACC